GCGAGGCCCCCTCGCATCAAACGACTGCTGGGGCGTCGGCGAGGCCGAGCAGCCGCGGCTAAGGTCGCCTTTCACAGGCCTCATGCCCAGCATAATGTACGGCGTCTCGTGCACTGGGACGTCGGACAGCGAGCTCAAGCACGCCAGGGCGCTGGTCGTCAAGGCAATCGAGCCAAGGCCGCAGGGCAAGTCCACAACTGGCTGCCTTGTCTTCGGCGGGCCGAGCGAGATCGACCCGATGTACGGCGCAACCTCGGCGCCTGTCTGCACCCTTGCACGTGCACTCTGGGAAGGCTGGGTTCCCGCAGGAGTGCTCAAGTCGACCTTCGACGGCTTCGCGAGGCACGTTCGCAGCTGGAGTGGGGTTCGAGGGCCAATCTCTGCGGCAATCTTGACGCTCAGGCGCGTCGGCTACGACGTGCGCAGCTTCGACCAGTGGCTCAGGCACAGCACCTGCGAGGCCATCGACATCACAAGCTCTTTCCCCTGGTGCATCAAGCATGTGCTGCGCAGGGACGCGCAGGCCTAGCAGCTACGACAGCTAGCGGCGGACACGCACGGGGGCATCGCCAACGGCGCCTTCGTCCCACAGGTGCGCAGGTGCAGGTGGCTCAGAACAGGCAAAGCCGCCACCTTCGAGGGCCGCAGGTGGAAGCCCCTGGACGACGAGCAGAGGGGCTACGCGAGGTCGCTGCTGGTGCACGGCCAGTGGCTCAACCAGCGAAGGTTTGAGGCAGCGCCGAGGCTCGCCCCAACGCCACGCTGTGAGCTACACCCGCACTCCCTGGGCACCCTGCGGCACCGCCACCTGGGGCGCGGCGACCGCTGGCCCAGTTTCGAGCTGCCTGAGGAGCTGGAGAAGTTCAAGCACTTCGAGTCTAGCATCACGATCAAAACGCTGTTCGAGCGGCTCCTGCTGCCCGAGCCCAGCCACGACTGGCGCCCCCCGCAGGACGACCTGCTTCAGGGGCTGCGTTGGCTCAAAGGGGACGCCGACCCGTTCATCAACACCGAGCTGTTCGCCGACGGATGCTGCTTCGAGGCTGGCACTTCGCTGGCTATGGCAGGATGTGCAGTAGTCGAGTTGCCGCCTGGGCCAGAAGGAGAAGACCCAGGCAAGGGGTCGTGCGTCAAGGCCATGGGCGCCCCCTGTGCCTGGGCCAATCCAGTCAATCGACGGCGCAGAGCTGCTCGCGCTCTACGCGATCCTCAGGCACTCGCCCCCCCCCCCCCCCATCACGGCCAACTTCGACGCCGAGTATGTGGTCAAAAGCTTGATGGAGAGAGGGCGCGAGGCCGCTACCTCGCATAAGTCTGCCTGGGGATAGATCTGGCGCAGGATTTGGCACGTGCTGGACGACTTCGGCGGTCTCATCAGCGACGGCCTCACGGTGCGGAAGGTCAAGGGCCGCGCGACCTTCAAGGAGGTGGACGAGGGCAAGATCGCAATCCGCAGCCGGCGAGGCAACCACGAAGCTGACCGAGCGGAGGAGTTCGTCACGGACCACTTCAGGGCGCCGCTGCAGGCGCGCGAGGCCAGGAGGGCAAGGGCGCTCACCCTGGACGGCGCGGTCTTCTGGGTTTCGCAGGCAGGCGCCGAAGCTGCTGACCTCAGGATCGGCTTTCGTGACAAGTACAGGGAGCCCGAGTCCAAGGGCCCCAGGCTCTACATCACCAAGCACGAGCTGGTCAAGATCAAGGGCGGAGCAGAGGGCGTCCAGGCGCTCCACTGTCTGCGCTGCCTGCGGTCGGCCTTCACTGACATCTCGACGTAGGACCTCCCAAGGCAGAGCTGCACGCCGAAGGCCTTCGCTCCCGACGCCTGCACCAGTGGGGGCAAAGCGGCCGAGCGCCTCGGCCCTGGCGCACGCGGGAGCCGCCGCGGTGGCGGTCGCAGCAGCCCGCCGTTTCGTGGAGGACGAGTGCCAGCCCACCCATGCCAGCGGTGAGGCATGTAGCAGCGAGGCGAGCCCCCCCTTCGTTCAGCATCGTGGCGAAAGCCAGATTCTGGGATCCGTCGGTGACGGTGACCTGCGTGCTGGCGAGGGCGTTCAGCATCGTGGCGAAAGCCAGATTCTGGGATCCGCCGGTGACGGTGACCTGCGTGCTGACGAGGAGCAGCCGTCGGCGGGTTCCTCTCCCTTTCAGCATCGTGGCGCGAGCCAGAGTCTGGGATCCGTCGGTGACGGTGGCCTGCTGATGAGGAGCCGCCGACGGCAGGCGACGGGGGCGCCAAGGCCCAGCCTGCTGCGCCGCCGCCCAGCGGCTCTGGCGCGCTCGACGTGGACGGAGGCGGCCACGACCTGCGCACTTACTTCGGGTACCGCGTCTGCCTGAAGTGCTTCCAGTACGCAACGGAGGTGAAGGGCAAGCACAGGGGGGCTCGGCTTGGCCTGTGCCCCAGCGCTCAAGCCCAGCGCCCAGGCGGAGCGCAGGAGGAAGGCCGAGAAGATCATGAGGGGAGTGGCTCCGACTGGGAGGCCACTCGCGTGACGGCGTCGCGGCGGGCTCCACTTCTACTGAGCTGCCGCCCGCGACGCAGCTGCGTCGCCGCCGCTCTGCCCTGTCGAGTTGCCGCCGTTTGCGGCGACTCCAGAGGCGGCCAACAGGGCTGCTGTGCGGCCTGCGACGCAGGAGCTGGACGTGCGCGCTGCGCGCACTCAGGCTGCTGAGGAAGAAGAATTGAGGACGTTGCCCACGACGTGAGGATCCTGCCAGATCGTGACAGGAGTGTGGAATTCCTGGCCATCGACATGACTAAGCTTCGCTCGAGGGTCTTTTCGATTGCACTTCCACCCCCTGGTCAAGACGAAGCAAACCACGGTGCATCGTATGTCGCGCCTGCCGTTCTTGAGGGCCCCAGTTGGAGCTGTAGTGGTCCAGGCTGTGATAGAACAGGTTTAACACGAGGAAGTTGTTATTGAACCACCTTCGCTTTGCACATCATCAAAGTAAACTCTCGGCTGTGCTCACACCGACTAGCATCCGTATCTGCTGCAAGGCCGTCTTTCGCGATAGGTGGTGCGCAGGGGGGCACTTGGAAACGGCCATGCTCAAGGGTAATTGCACCGTGGGTGGAGGGCGCAGACTTCGGACTCTTGTGCAGCCCTGCTTGTACTCGTGTCGTCTCTGCCGATGTGACCAGCGGATCTCGATGGGCTCTGGTTCAGCAACAAGGTTCTTAGAACATAGAATAGGTTCTTAGAACATTCTTTTGTTGGCCTATAGGCGAGCCAGGACGTTTCGCCATTGCTTGATCTGTAGCCATTTGGTTCAACAGCAACTCCCAGCTCATGCGATTACACCTATGGCTGATCGAACTCACGAGGATGTCGCAGGGGCAGGGCAGCGCAGATTGACCCCTGCCAGCGTGGTTCCACGAAGACAAGAAGCGCCGCCTCGAGACCGGCGCCCAGGACGCTTCGACGGAGGCCGAGAAGGACACAGAAGACAAGGGCGGCCAGGAGACCAACAAGAGCAAGGGCGGCAAGGGCAGCGTCCAGACCAAGCGCGTGACCCTCATGGCGCGCCTCCTCGTCACGCTCGAGTGGGACGTGGCAGAGTTGAAGTCGACGGTCTACGAATGCGCAGTGCTCCCAGACGTCAACGCTCTCAAGGAGGCCTGCGTGCGCGCGGGCAAGGAGTACAACAACACCAGCAAAGACATGAAGAAGGCCCAGTCCCAGGGCGAGGCTCAAGACTGGAAAGGCCGCGGGAGTCCACATCTGCACATCTTCATGACGTTCATGATCGCCTTTGTCTCGTTGTTCACGGAGAAGAAGGACGCGGAGATGAAGGCCGTGGTGATGAAAGCCTTAACGGACATCCATGCAATCCCCCTGCCCGAGCTGGGGCTCATCGTCCGCGTCTTCCGCGTGCGCATCCACAAGATCAAGGACGGCAAGGAGCGTACGGGCCACTTCGAGTGGGCGATGGATGGCAAGTCTCCAGCAGGTCTCAGCTTTCACGAGCTGATGGGCACGATCATGGTGAGCCAATCGGCAGAGACGATGTCAGGCCCAGCCCCGCGGGGGCCCTTGGCGAGGGAGATCATCAGCCTGGGCAACAAGAGCTGAGCCTCCCTCGTCGCCAGGCGCTTCTCAGGAGTTAGAGGCTTGCCGAGTTGGTGCGCAAGCGTATTGTCTCGGCTGAGGTGGTGCAGCGCGCCACGCAGGTCTCTCTAGCTACATGTTATCATGCTGCTCTTCCGCCCGTCCCTGTGGCCACTCTCGCTCCTGCTCGCCCTGCTCGTCCCAGATCCCGTCCACCCCACTCTCAGAAAGGTCAGAAAGGTGGTGCGAAGGGCTCACGCCCGGCGGGCGGCGCCCTACAAGGGATATTGTGTTCCTGGGGTTGCTGCTTGGGCCCGTGCCCCGATAGGGGAGCGCGCGGCCAGCATCAGTGCACACGTCGGCGGAACTGCCGCCCCCTCAGAGCCCTCGGCGTCAAGAACACGTCCTTGCTGCAGGACTCCACGGGTTTGTCTTGTCTTGCCTCCTTCTCTCCTGTTCTCTCTGCTTCTACATCTCCTGATTCTTTCTCCTCGTCCTCGCATTCGACCTCATATCCCTCTTGTCCATCTGCTGCGATACTTGCGTGCTCCAATTCGATGTGTATGAGTCTGGTCACGAACGCGCCACATGCGACCGACAACCCCCCCGGATGCCGAGACCAACCGCACCGTCTTGGAATGCCCCAACGAAAAAAAAAACTTGCAACAACACGGACATAGCCCCGTGACACCGACTGAGACGCTCCCCATTCGACTACGCGCAAGAGTGACCCTGGGTAAGAGTGACCTTTGGTGCGCGGCTTTCTGGGGTCCGCGGGGGGTCCAACCACAAGCGCGCAAGACGCCGCTGCCGCCTCGCGTTCGGCGATCGGGGAACCCCATTGAGCCCGCACCAAAAGTCACTCTGGCGAAAGGTCACTCTTACGTCTAGTCGACCCATGAGCCCATCCCCACTCCTACAATGCATCGGGGCGATCCCCCTTCGCGCCTGAAGATCGCTCCAGGCTTGAGCTTCTCGCCGGTCTTCGTCGCCTCTAGGCGAGGAGCCGAGCGGACCTCCAAGGGTCTCCCGTTCGCCGGTGTGCATTTCCAGAACTCGCTGCCGCTGGGTTCCTGCAGGGTGCGCTCGAGGAAGCGGGAGGTGTGCGAACACCACCCTCATCGATCGCCGTCATCACAACCATCGCCACTGGCCAGTAACACCATCACCACCATCGCCACGACCACCACAATCACGATCGCCACACCATCGACATCACCACAGCCACAAGCAATCATCACCATCACCATGAGCAAGACAAACGGCACCCATTGCTTGTCGAGTCGGCGCCCCGGTGCCGGTGGCGCCATCAGATGAGCCCCATACGCGCCTGCAAGCGGCGACGCTGGTCCTCGCTGCCAAGTTGGCGGCATGCCACAGCGCAGCCGTGGCCGCCAGCGAACCGCGCATATGGCGGACCTCGGCGGAAAATTCTGGCTTCGGCCCAGGACTGGCGGCCTCGGAGGGTAGAGCGTCGACCCTCAAGCACGGGCAGCGCGGTAAGAGCAGAGGGACGGAGAGGATAGCGGCGCTCCCCATCTTGCACGGTGCCGACAAGAAACACCTCACGGATGGCCGTAAGGACCCGGCGGCCAACGCGGGCTCCGAACGGACCTCGGGCGACACCGTTAACGGTGCGGCAGCGGCTGGCTGACTCCTTCGCCGACCCAGGCCCGGATCGCGGGCCTCGAGGCGTGGATCTGAAGGGCAGGGCGCCCTGGGCTGCACGGAGCCGCGCCGGCCGTGGAGCAAGTCAAGCGGGGTGGCCTCGGGACCATCGCGCGGAGACGCCGTGGGAAGCACTGCCCTCTCGAGGCCGCCTGGGGGAGCAGCGCCGCCGAGGCCCAGGCGCTCGGAGAGGCGGCCTCTCCACAGTCCTCCGGGTGTCCCCGCCGCCAGCTTCGTTGCCACAGCAAGATGAGAAGCGATACCCTGGGGCATCGAGTCCCTGCGCTGGTCTCGGTGAGGCGTTTACCCTCGCCCAGCCTGGGCCTGCACGCAAGCTGAGCGCAGTGAAGAACATGCTCGGGCATTGGCGCACGGTCAGTTTCTCGGCGTCGTTGGAGCTCGGAAGGGCAAGCGCGGGGATTGTCGGCGCATCGCGGGGGGAAGTGAGAGGGGGCAAGCCTTCTCAGAAGGCGGCGGGGCTTCTCAGAAGCCCTCGGGCCCTCGGCCCTTACGCGAAGCCGTCTGCGGCTCCGGGGGAAGCTTAGAAATCTTCTCTGAAGGGCAGAAGCCTTCAAACTAACGTAGATTGGGGATCCGTGGATCTGGCGCGAAACATGAGACCAATGCCGCCTCATTTGGCGACGAAGCACGCCGATTCTGCACGAAAACGGGACCCGCCACAACTCCACGCGCCTTAATCCATGGGGTTTCCTGGATTCTGAGCCCTCTGAGAAGGCCCGCTCCTTTTGCCTTCCCTTCTTTGGCGCGCTGCCAAGGGAACGCGGATGGCTGCTGGCCCCGCCCGGGTCCCAAATCTGGCCAAACTCGGAAACGCCGACTCCAGCATCTTCGGGATGGTGGAGCTCTGCCGAGAGTCTGGCCGGCGTCCACTGATAATGGCCAGCAGGCTCAGAAGAGAGCCGCCCGTGGTAAGAGAAACAGAGCAGCACGAACCTGCTCTGAACTTTCATCGATATGCACGTGCCGCGGCGAACGGGTTCGGGTAAAGGACACGGCGCGACCACAATTAGGGGTCGTCCTTCTTCCGAAGCAGTTCAACGCAGTTCTGAGCCATGCGAACCAATGCCTTGCTTGGCATTGCTTGGCTTTGCCAGGGTCGGCGCGGATTTCTTCGAACCCCCCCCCCCTGGCGAGCGGTGCGCTGACGCGGCGAGCCCGACGCTGCACCCACTCGTCCCCTGGGACCGCCGCGTCCCTCGCAACCCCGCACGGACAGCGGGGCCATCAACGAAACCGCCGGTGGGGGTGACCCGTGGCCAGTCCCCCCCACCTCACCCCGCCCCCTCCTTCCACTCGGGCCGGGCGACAGGGGGGGATAGCAAAGGGGGGGGGGAGAATCAGCTCACGTAGCTGATTTTCCCGGCGTATCCCGGCGCCGGGAGGCACCCATGCATCCAGGAATGGGCCCGGCTGCGGGGCCGAAACCAGCTGCATGCAGCAGATTTTGTAACCCTCCCGTTAAGTGAGATACGCGTGCACTCAACGGAGGGAGAGGAGGAGAGGAGGGGACGAGAGAGGGACCAGGACAGGGCGATGGTATTTTCATGGCAGCGTGGCGACGCGCATCTCCACCTGGGCGTGGGCCCTGACGGCCCACGCCCGACGCGAGCGCGTGGGCCCTGACGGACCGCGCGCTCGCGCTCTGGCACGCCTGCGGCCGCTTGGCCCGCGCAGGCGTCTGGGAGCAAAGCGGGGTGGGTGGGCACCCGCGCGTCGGCCAGAGCCGAACGCTACGGACCCAAAATGGCTACCTGAGCCCACACCCCCTCCCACTTAACCTGCAGTCTACAACCAATCAGACTATACAAGTTAAGTGAGATACGCGTGCACTCAACGGAGGGAGAGGAGGAGAGGAGGGGACGAGAGAGGGACCAGGACAGGGCGATGGTATTTTCATGGCAGCGTGGCGACGCGCATCTCCACCTGGGCGTGGGCCCTGACGGCCCACGCCCGACGCGAGCGCGTGGGCCCTGACGGACCGCGCGCTCGCGCTCTGGCACGCCTGCGGCCGCTTGGCCATGAGAGAAGAGAGCGCAGCCGCGCGCGCGGGGGCGCCCAGCCCGAAGTGCGAGGGCGGAGCCTGAGGCCGCAAGAGCCTCGCGCGCGCGGCCACTTGCCTGCAACCTTGAGGCCTTCCGCGCCCCGCGCACCCAGAGCGCGGGCGCGGCGCGCGCGCGAAGCGCGCAAAATAACAAGAAAAGAGCGGCGCATGATGCGCCGGGCGCAGAGCGCAAGTGTGGCCCCGACCGCACGGCGCGCAGGGCGCGCAGCGCGACAGGGTCCAGGAAGCGCGCGACGTGCGCGCAACGTTCAAACCTCAAAAGAAAGAGGATCGCAGGCGCCACCTGCGTACCGTAGGCTAAAAGAAAGAGGATCGCAGGCGCCACCTGCGCACCGTAGGCTGAAAGGATCGCAGGCGCCACCTGCGCACGGTAGGCTGAGAGGAAGGCCGGCTCACTCACGGGCTTGTCCCGAGTAGCGGTCCGCCTCACTGGGCCGCCGTCTTCAGCCCGCAGCCCGCGATGCCGCGGGCGCTGGCGTCGGGATATGGGGTGCTCCACGCCTAGATGGATGGCGCGTTCCCCTGGCGATCGCGGCTCTCGTCGCCGCTGCGGTCTCCGCCGCGCTCACTGTGGTCCCGGGGGCTGCCGCCATCGCCGCCCCTCGACGCGCGACCGCCCGCGCTGGGCCTGTCGCGCTCACTCCGGCCGCGGCTGCCCTGGTCGCCCTTGGAGTGGCCGCCCTTGCCGCTCTTGTCGCCCTTGCCGCCGCTCTTGGTGCCCTTGGCGGCCTTGCCGGAGTGCTTGCCCTTGACCTTGCCGCCCTTGCCGCCCTTGTCGCCCGCGCCCTTGCCACGCCAGGCTGGGATCCCACCCCCGCCCGCGGCAGCCTCCGCAGCGGCAGCACGCCGCCGCTTTTTCTCCTGCTCGTACCAGCCGCCGCGAGGAGCGCGAAGCTGCCCAGCGTGCTTCCCGGTCTTACGCCGCGTGCGGCCGGGAGGGGTGTCGCCGCGCCGCGCCCACGCTGGGTCCCGCGCCAGACTGCGGCTGGGCGACCTCTCGCGCTTGGGCCGGTTGCGGCTGGGCGACCTCTCACGCTTGGGCCAGCTGAGGTCGCCTGGCGGGCGGTCCCCCTCAGCCCCCGCACCCGTGGCACCCGTGCTGGGGCGCTCTCCGTGGCCGGCACTGGGGCCCGGCGCCTCCCGCACGGTGTGGCCGCTCCGCCGGGCCTTCTCCACCACCGTCTTGGGTTTGCCGAAGGCGACGCGGCAAGCCTCGCAGTAGCTCACGTCGCACCCCTTACAGTGCCACCGCAGGGCTCCGCTGTTAGCTCCGCCCGCGGGGCACATCTCGCAACCCCAACCGTCTCCCGGGTCAAAGGAGCTCCAGCGCATCTTGAGAGCGCACGTCGGGCAGGCAGGCGGCTGGATGGTCGGGCCATCCTCCCCGTCGCTGCCTGGGTCAGGGCCGCGAGGCCGACTCGCCCACTCCGTGACCACTGTGCACGGGTCCGTCTTGTAGAACCGATAGTTCGACCTCATGCACTCCCGCGCGCGCTTTGCATCAGCGCGGCGCTGGAACTCCACGAGCACACACGGCTCCCGCTTGTGGCGGTGGTCGTACAGGAAGGCGATGTGTTTGACGACCCCAAAGGGCACGACCACCTGCCTGACCACCTCGGCGTCGACGTGGTGCGGTACCCGCTCGATGCGGATGATGGACTCGCCCTCGTCGTGCTGGTCACTGGGCTGCTGCTGGGCGCCCTGGCGCTGCTCCTCTTTGCGCCTACGGCGGCTCCTCGAGCGCGGCTGGCGCTGGGGCGGACCGTCCCCCGCGCCTGGCGCCGCCGTCTCCTCCACCTCAGTCTTCACCTCGAAGGGCCGCGGCGGCGCCCCCCCGCTCTTGGGCTTCAGGACGGCCTCACGCTTCACGATGTCGGCCTTCGGGGGGGCGCCCCCCGTCTTGGGCTTCAGGACGGCCTCCTCCTCCCGTCCCCTGCGCCCGCGATCGCGAGGCTCATCGCGCTCGCGATCGCGGCGCCTCGCGCGCGAGGGCGAGCGCAAGGGCGCAGGGCGCCTCTCACGCTTGCGGACCTCCTCGGCGAGGCGCTCCTGCCCCGGGGACCGCGGGGGCCGCGGGCGCTCCACTGGAGCGCCTTTGCTCTGGCGCCGCGCTGCAGCCTGGATGGCCGCACGCGCCAGCGCCGCGGTCACGGCGTCCTCGCCCGGCTCGAGGACCGGGGCTGGGGTCGACCTCCCCTCGCCCCTGCTCGAGGCGTCGTCCACGTCGGTGAGCTCCACGACCGCCTCCGCGTCCACCGTGCGCATCATGTCGAGCAGCCCCCTGTTGTGCTTGCAGAGCTCGCGGAGCTCCGGCATGGGCTG